GACCCCCGCGTGGAGCCGGACGCCGGAAGGCCGCCTCCCCGGGGAGGCCACCTGGTGGTTCTGTCTAACGGTAGGTACGTTGGGAAGGCGTATAAGGAGCCGAAGGCGCTGTGGCTGCACTTCGCCGACGTGGAGCGCCAGGCGACCGCCCAGCACTACGTGACGGAATTCAACAAGCGACTTTATGAGCAGCAGATCCCGACCCAGATCTTCTACGTCCCCTCCGCGGTGCTGCTGGTGAGATGGACGCAGGCAGGGCTTGGGGGGACAGGCCCATGGATGCCTCTTAGGTCAGATTTCTCTTTTTTAATATATTAAGAGAGGAAAGGAGTGGGAGAGACAGAAACATCAATGATGAGCCCTGGCTGGTTTGGCTCAGTGACTAGAGGTTGGCCTGCACACTGAAGGGTCCCGGGTTCGATTCTGGTCAAGGGCACAGGCCCGGGTTTCAGGCTCTATTCCCAGCGTGGGGAGTGCAGGAGGCAGCCGATCCATGATTCTCTCCCATCATTGATGTGTTTTATTTTCTCTCTCTCTCCTTCTCCCTTCTTCTCTGAAATCATTAAAAATATATTTAAAAAATTAAAAAAGGAAACATCACGGCCCACGTTTGACAGGAGCATCTCAGTGAAAGAAGAATAACTGTAGGTTCTATGATATTCCATCAACGTTAGGCACCCCGCATGCAGATAAGGAAACCAGGTCTAGTCGCCCTTCTCCTGGCCGGCAAAGCCGAGGTTCGCAGACCATCCACCGTCCCCTCGCCCGTGCCCTCACCGTACGTCACACGCCCCCCGCTTCTGTTTTTCAGATTTTAGAGGACGAGACGATAAAAGGGTGTGTCAGTGTGGAGCCTTACATCCTGGGGGAGTTTGTGAAGTTATCCAATAACACGCAAGTGGTGAAGACCGAGTACAAAGCCACCGAATACGGCTTGGCTTACGGCCACTTTTCTTACGAGTTTTCCAACCACAGGGATGTCGTAGTCGATTTACAAGGTACGTGCAAGGGGCTCACTCTTCCTGTGTATGTTGTTCGCATGTACGCGTGAGGCTTCGCAGCTACCTCTGCCAACCACTCTTTAACAGATTGTGCAGTGCCTGCTTGCAATTAAATTAACCTATTTGAGCCCTGGCTGGTTGGGCTCAGTGGCTAGAGCGTCGGCCTGCGGACTGAAGGGTCCCGGGTTCAATTCTGGTCAAGGGCACAGGCCCGTGTTGCGGGCTCCATCCCCAGTGTGGGGTGTGCAGGAGGCAGCCGATCCATGATTCTCTCTCATCATGGATGTTTCTATTCTCTCCCTCTCCCTTCCTCTCTGAAACCAACTTTTAAAAAATATTTAAAATAATTAAATAAATAAATGTGCATCTCACCGATTTAAAAAAAAAACACGCACGAATGAAACGGTGACTTGACTTATAAAAAATTTAATTAATCGATTAATCGATTTGACTCTGGGGAGCAAATGATGCCTGAAAAAATGCCTCGAGGTTCTGTAAGACTCTAGGACATCCACTCATCCACGAAGAGATGGGGCTCCCCTCCTGTGAGGCTGAGTCCCGGAGCACACCCTCCCGCTTTCTAAGCTTCCGAGGGTGAAAACCCCCCGCTTTCCACCCTGTGTCTTCGCCTCCAGCGCTGTGCGTGGCTGCAGGCGTCCCGACGCAGGAGGGGCAACCGCCCAGCGTGGAGCAGAGCAGGCGCCCGGACACCTGCTTGGCCTCATCAGGGCACAGAGCGCTGCGAGTGCTTCAGTCTGACTGCCTTTATGTTCTCTGCATTCGTGTCTTAATTATGTTTCCGTTCATCCCGTATATTATTTATCAGAATTTATCAGCCAATACTCTGCACTTGCATTTTTAAAAATATTTTTATTGACTTCAGAGAGGAAGGGAGAGGGAAGGAGAGAGACACCTCAATGATGAGAGATAGTCATGGATCGGCTGCCTCCTGTACACCCCCTATTGGGGATCGAGCCCACAACCCAGGCGTGTGCCCTGATCGGGAATTGAACTCAGGACCCTTCAGTCCACAGGCTCTATCCACTGAGCCCACCAGCCAGGGCTAAAGTTTGTTTCAATGATACATGAGAATCATGATCATTAATCCTATGGCCACCCCTGGTCCTCTCTGTCCCTCGCACAGTGCCTGTCCTCACGCTCTGTCACACGTGTGTCATACTTACTCAGGTCGCTTACCCACCTGCCCCGTCCACAGCGTTAGCCCCGCGAGCACTCAGGTCATGACAAGCTTGTCCGTCGCAGGCCCCGGGCCGAGCACTGTGCTCTGTACAGTGTCTGCGCTCGCTAACTTTCTCACACAAACAAAGATACACATTAACGACTGAGGCACCAAAGAAACGTGTGAACCACGAAAGAAAGATCCAATCTGTGATTTTGGTCACAATGCGGGTGCGTTTTATTGCTCCCCGGTGCCTTGAAAACCATTCCCTTGGGTATCGATCGGAGACGGATTTAATGATCCAATATTCACTTCTCCCTCAAGCCATCATTGGCGTGTAACACCCGCTCGCTCAGCAGAACGTCATTACATGGGCTCTCTGTGTCTTGTTAAGCACATAATTCTTTTTCTGAGACGCGTCCTGGACGCCCCGGAGGCCTCGTCCTCAGACGCGTGCCGCTCCGCAGGCTGGGTGACCGGCGACGGGAAGGGGCTGCTCTACCTGACAGACCCCCAGATCCACTCGCTGGGCCGAAGAGAGGTCACCACCAACTTTGGGAGCCGGGGCATCTCCTACTTCTTCAACCACCAGCACGCGCAGTGCAACGACATCTGCCGGCATCTCTCCCTGACCAGACCACCAACGGAAACACGGAACAACTCGTAGGCTTTCTGGGGATGCGGCAGCCTCGAGAGCCGCTCACGGGGACCAGGTCCCCCTCTCCAGGTGCACAGGGGCCAGCGCAGCCTGGTCCCGGGGGCTGGGGGCCTGGGGCAGGGCTGGCCAAGGATGGCGAGAGGAACCGATGAGTCCATTTCAGGGTCACACTTGGACCTGTGCCAGACCCTGGGGTCTCTCTCCCTCTTCCACTTACCCCTCTCGGCCATCTCCCCAAATAAATGTCTGCACGTCTACCCCCTTCTTGGTGTTTGCTTCTTAAGAACCCAAACTGACACATTTATTAAAGATATGGGGGGAAATCATCTTATTAAGAAAATAAAGGGGGAAGTCATATTATAATATCAAATGATACTGAAAAAATACTTATCATTTAAAATTAATTCGTAGTAAAAAAACAAAAAAGCTCTTTGCACCCGGTTGGGGGCTCGATCCCCAGTGGGGGACTTGCAGGAGGCAGCCGATCCACCATGATTCTCTCTCCTCGTGGGTGTTTCTGTCTCTCCCTCTTCCTTCCTCTCTGAAGTCAATGAAAATATATTTTTTAAAATCTCGGTGTGACGGGCAAGAGGCAGGGGAGAGCGAGAGGGAAGTAAATCTCGTTAAGATGGTGCAGGGCCCGCAGGAGCGCGAGCTCTGCAGCTGCGCAGGGAGCACGGGCTTTGGCCGCCACGAGGCGAGTGTGGCTAATCCTCTCGGCCGAGGCTTTGTCCGGCGCCTGAGCGCGGCCGGCAGGGCTGCCCGTTCCCAGCGCCTCCGTCTGTCCCCCGGGGCACTCCCCGTCCTGACTGCTGTTCAGCGGGAACAAGCCATCCATCACAGGGCCGGGAGCCGCCTTCCCATAGAAACGTCAGATCAGCCCGGGACACGCCGATTACCCGACGTGTGGGCGCTCGCGTGCTCCGAGGGAGATTAAGGGGGTGAGCTCGCTGTGTGGCCCAGACAAAGGGCTCCCTCGCAGCCGGTGGGAACGTCACAGAAGCTGAAAAGGTGGAAAGCAGAGAGTGTAACAGGAAAACAGACCTGGAATGTCACGTCCGTTGACACGGCTTCCCCGGAGACAACGCGGCGACGCAGAAGGCACCTGCAGGGGAGCCGCCTCGGCCGTGAGCTGGGCCAAGTGTGTCGCCAACGATGGACACTGATTTATTGTCTCCGCAAATGACGGGGACATGGCCACAGATGAGCAGCCCTGCCCGGGGCAGTTCACCTCTCGGGGGCAGGTACGTCAGAGTCATTAACATGGCTCTTCCGTTTGCGGCGCACACAGGAGTAACGTCTTCAATGAATTTCATACAGAAATGAGCTCCCCGTGGAAGCCTGGGGTCGAGCCTTTAAGTCACGAAGCCGAAGCAAATGGTGTCAAGTGACACAAAATAGTATTTTTACAAGAACCGAGCCTGCAGCTGTGCTACGTTCGTTGTTAGAAGTGACTTTCAAAAGCAGGAAGAAAACTAAGTCCACCGGGTTTCACTCTAAATTGAATAAGAGCATCGATTCAAATGAATGTAAGAAAAATGTCTTCGTAACCACATATTTTTAAGACGTAAGATAACCTCCGGGTTCAGTCTGTGCTGTGCCCGTTAGCATCATCCTGGGAAGGAAACATCTGCAGAGAAAGAAGTGGTGGCTCCTCCCGGGTCCGGGTGAGCTGTGGGCGGCGCCGTTACTGGAAACGCCGTCATCGGTTACGGTTTGGGCGTATTCTGACGCGCCCCCGTCTCTCTCAAGTACAGACTGTTTTCTATTCACAGGGGTTGAGAATCAAAGAATGCCCCTTTTTGTTCCTGTAACTACGTTGTCAAAGCTCGGTCACAATCTCTGGCTATCAGTTCTATGATGTTCTGTGCCAATCACGGGAGCAAGGGAGTGTGTGTGTTCTCTGCTGGGACTGACGCCGGCATCCACCTTCTCTCCCTGCACAGATCACAGAGCAGAGGGACCGCTGAGCCCTTCTGGGAGACACTTGACATGGTCTTTTCCAAATGACAGGGGCCCACGCGGCTGCTGTCAACAGGGAGCGTCCTTTCCGGCAGCACCTGGGGCGTGCGCGGCCTTCCCTTGGGCTGGACCATGCCCTGAGCACCTGCATTGCGGGCCTGGGACACGGACGGGCTCCAGCCAGCTGCGCCCTTCCCGGCCTCCAGGGCGTGTGTGAGCTGGAGCCAATGGGTCTGGCCAGACGCAGGCCCCCTCTGAGCAGCGGCCGGCTTGCCCCCGCAGATGCCGTAAGAAAGCTCTTCTATGGTATGAAGGTTCAGAGCAGTGGAGGCCAGGAGCCTTGTGCAAAGACTCAAAGCCATAAATTATTCCAACAAAGGAAGTTTAAGATGTCAAAGTCCGCCCATCCGGTGTGGCTCCGTGGTTGAGCGTCCACCCATGAACCAGGAGGTCAGGGCACAGGCCCGGGTTGCAGGCTCGATCCCCAGGGTGGGACGTGCAGGAGGCAGCCGATCCATGATTCTCTCTCATCATTGATGTTTCTCTCGCCCTCTCCCTCTCCCTCTCTCTTTCTTTCTCTGAAAATCAATAAAAACATATTTTAAAAAAGAAACATACTTTTGTTGAAAGAGAAAACAACTCTAGGCTTATCTTGCAGGGATGAAGGGAACTCATCTCCAACAGAGTGGAACGCAGGATTAATCACACCCATCACCATGGAAACTACAGCCGTCTCTTCTGCAATCGAACCGGCCTGTGGAATGCTTCCTGAAAACAATACTTCCTTGAAAGCTGGATTGAGTGTTAGAATTTATAAAACATTAATTTCCTTCAAGGGTCTTTTCAGTTCATCTTTTTAAAAAAATATGTACTTTTATTGATTTCAGAGAGGAAGGAAGAGGGAGAGAGAAACATCAATGATGACAGAGAATCATGGATCCGCTGCCTCCTGCACACCCCACCCTGGGGATCGAGCCTGCAACCTGGGCATGGGCCCTGACCGGGAATCGAACCAGTGACCTCTTGGTTCCTGGGGCCGATGCTCAACCACTGAGCCATGAGGCCAGGCAAGATTATATGTTTCTTATGCAAAAGTACGATCTTTAAGAAAACACACCCACTTTTTTTTTAAAGAAAATTTTAAAAATCCAGACTGTGAATGACTGCTTCTCAATTGAAAAGGTCACTGTCCAAAACTTTAAGTAGAACCCACCATCCCTTCAGCCTACTGGCCTGGCCTGGCCAGGTGGCTCAGTGGCTGAGCGTCAACCTATGAACCAGGAGGTCCTGGTTCGATCCCGGGTCAGGGCACATGCCTGAATTACGGGCTTGGTCCCCAGTGTGGGGCTTGCAGTAGGCAGCCATTGATGATTCCCTCTCATCACTGATGTTTCTATCTCTCTCTCCCTGTCCCTTCCTCTCTGAAATCAATAAAAATATATTTTTAAAAAGA